TTCTAACAAGTGGGCTTACACAAACATAACCTTCATTGATAATTTTCAAATAACAGTACAATATCACACACAAACACAATTTTAAGTAAATCAACACAAGCAAACTAGCACACCAAAGTAGCACGCATAACACATTCTTTACTAAAGCAAGCAAGCACGAAGCACAAACACACAAATCTTATTCTAGCGATCAATCCCGTTGATCTTATTCTCGTCACCCTTCTCACCTGTCAAATATCTGCGATCAAATGTGTAAAAGATAAGGGCGCGAGGAAATTCCATAGCCTCCTTTTCATCAATCAATTTATTCTTGCTATACATGGCTACCTGAGCATCTTGATAACTAGCCAAGTGATCGGATTCAAGTTTCATCTACCACTCCAAGTGCTCGTACTGGTGATATATCTCATGCAACTTATTGTGTATATTGGAAAGCTCCTCTTCAATCTTCCCCAACTTGCTTGACACCTTCACCAAAATTATCGCTAAGAATCCATTGAAATAAGTTTGGGCATCATTATGCATAAACTTATTTCCAACTCCATTCTCTCTATTCTCTATAGAAGCAAGTAAGATCTCCAACCCTTTCTAAACTCTCTTCTCTGGTCAAATTTTTGAAGGAATGAAGAAAAGGGATGAGGGCTAGACATTTTTATAGAGAAGACATGAAGAAAATCTGCTTTGGAACAATTTTATCATGTCCAAAAGCTGCAGCACCTAGGCGTCGATTTATGGCGCCTAGGCGCCATCATCATAGGACTCTGGCGCATAGGCGCCAATTGTTTGCGCCTAGGCGTCAGCATCCAAGTGAACATTGATTCACCTATTATAAAAATTCTTCAATTTCCATTCATTATTAATACCTTAAATATTGTTAAAATAATTATACAAAAGTAAAGGATAGTCACGATACTACACAATACAAACATAAATCAAATTATATCGATAATTATGGGTTGTCTCCCACAAAGCGTTTAGTTTAACGTCATCGGCCTGACATATCCAAATATTTTACTCGGATAGATCCAACATTAAAGTCTCTTTATAGTAGGGCTTGTATTCGCCAATGTATGGCTTCAACCTATGTCTATCTACTTTGGTCATATGTCCAGTTTTTGGATCTTTAATCTCTACAGCCTCATAAGAATAAACTTGTCACAATAAATGACTTCATTCACCTGGACTTAAGTTTTCTTGAAAATAAATTCAATCGTGTATTGTAGAATAAAACTGCTTGTAAAGGCTCAAAAATCTTTCTTAAAATCTTTTGATCAAGCCAAATTTTCATCTTTTCTTTATAAATTTGAGCATTTTCATAAGATTCATTCCTAATTTTCTCGAGCTCTTTCAATTACAATAATCATTTTTCTCCAGTATCCTTTAGAATATAATTAAATTATTTTATCGCACGATAAGCTTTGTGCTTTAACTCAACCGATAAATGATAAGCTTTTCCAAATATGAGTTTATATGGATACATTCCTGTAGAAATTTTATAAGCAATCATATAAGCTCATAATGCAGAATCATGTCTATCAGACTAATCAGTTCTTTTATGATTCACAATTTTTTTCTAAAATTCTTTTGATTTCACGATTTATTACTTCTGCTAATCCACTGAGGGTGATAAACTGTGGTAATCCTATATTTGATTCCATATTTTCTAAGTAATGTGTCCATTCTAAAATTCTTAAAGTGACTTCCTTCATCAGTAATGATCACTCTTGGCATTCCAAATCTAGTAAAAATATTTTTGTTTAAAAATTTTGCGAGACTCGGAGCATAACAATGAGGCAAGACTATCGTTTTAATTCATTTAGACGCATAGTCCACAACTAATAAGATATAAATCTTTCGTGAAGATGGTACAAATGATTCCATAAAATTCAAACCCCAAACATAAAAAATTTCAACTTCTAAAGTAAAATTTAGGGGCATTTCATCTCTTTTAGAAATATTGAATACTCTATGATATCGATCACAAGTTTTCACATAATTATTAACATTCTTAAACAATGTAGGCCAATAAAATCCAGAGTGTAAAATTTTAAATGCAGCCATATCTATTCAAAAATTCAGATTTATGACATTTTTGTATAATTTCAAAGGTTTCATTAATTAGTACACATCTTTGAATAAGTGCGTCACGACATTTCTTAAATAAATAAGCGTCATCCCAAAATTAAAACCTGACATCATACACAAATTTCTTTTTCTGGTGGCTTGTTAGTCCGTACGGTAGAATATTACTAAGTAGTTAATTATATCTGCATACTATGGTATATGCCACTCAATAAAAACATAGAGTTGTTCATGAGAAAAATTCCATTTATATTGTCATCATTGTTCTTTTCTTTTTCATGTTCAATTCTTGACAAATGATCAGCAATTTGATTATCCCTATCCACTATTTTAAAATCAAATTCTTGCAAAAGGACACATCTGATTAATTTTGATTTCGCGTCCTTTTTTGACATAAGATATTTAATAGTGGAATGATCAGTATGCACAATACAATTAGCTCCGAGTAAGTATGACATAAATTTATCAAAAACAAATACTATTGCCAACAGTTCTTTTTCAATTGTTGTGTAATTAATTTGAGCTTCATTAAGAGTTTTGCTGGCATAATATATAACTTTAAAATTTTTTTCATATTTTCGTCCTAAAAAGGTTTCAATAGCGTAATTATTTGCACCATACATTAATTCAAACATTTTTTCCCAGTCAGGTGAAACAATGATAGGTGGCAATAATTAACTCTTTCTCTAATAAATTGAAAGCTTTAAGATAATCATCATTAAAATCAAACTTATTATATTTTTCTAAAGATGTCAAAGAGGCTTTAGCAATTCTAGAAAAGTCTTTAATATACCTCCTATAAAATCCAACATGTCTTATAAAATTTCTTACAACAGTTACTGAATTAGGAGGTTGTAATTCAACAATAATTTGATTTTTTGTTTCATCAACTTCCATATCATTTTTAAAAATTGTTATGTCCAAATATATTCCCTCCTGTGACCTTAAATTGCCATTTTTCCCAATTAAGAACTAAATTTGTTTCTTCACAGCGTTTAAGAACCTTTGCTAAATGATCTAAGCATGAATCAAAAGAGGTTCCGAAAATTGAGAAAACATTCATAAAGACTTCAATTCCTTTCTCAACTAAGTCACAGAAAATAAACATCATACGCCTTTTAAAAGATGCATGTTTGTTATATAAACCAAAGGACATTCTTCTAAAAGCAAAAGTCTTATATGGACTTGTAAATGTAATCTTTTATTGATCCTCTGGAGCAATAGGTATTTGGTGGTATTTGGAATAGGTATTTGGTGGTAACCAGAATATCCATCCAAAAAGCAAAAGTACTCGTGTCATGCCAGTCTATCCAACATTTGGTCCAAGAAAGGTAAAGGAAAGTGATCCTTCCTAGTGATGATGTTTAATTTTCGATAGTGAATACAAATTTGCCATCCATTGACTTGTTTTTTTTGGAATTAATTTGTTCTTTTCATTTACGACAACAGTCACTCATTCTTTCCTAGGAACACAATGAATAAGACTATCCCATGCACTATCTGAAATTAGATAAATAATCTCAGCATCCAGCCACATTAGAATTTCTTTTTTTACCACTTTTTTCATCATAGGAGTTAATCTCCTTTGAGGTTCAACCCTGGGTTTACAACCATCTTTCATTAGATAGTTTTCCATCATATTTCATGAAACCCTGACATGCAATGTTAGTTATCTATAGAAACTCTACGTTGTGTTATGTACGATATAGCACTATGCTCTTCTGTGAGACATATTTAAAACTAAGATGTTGTATTTTAATGAATCAAACTTTATGTTCTGTCTCTTATTTGTGGTTGGTAATATGTGCTTTTCTCTGTTATTACAACAAAATTTATAATATCTTTCAGGTTATAGGAAGTACTGATTTAAGTGTCTTTAGTTTTAACAGAATACCAAAGAATTTTATTTATAAATGTGGAATCCTAAATTGTCATTCGGAAATACACACCTTGAGAATTAGAGCCAAGAGAAAGAGGAGAGAGAGTAGAGCAGTTTGTATGAAAACCGTTCTTAATTCAATTAGTGTGTTGATTTAATGCTAAATTTGCATTAAAATTTGAACGGAATAAAACGGTTGTCAGTAGGTTGAGATGCTCGCGCTCAGTCGACTGAGGCGACCGATCGTGTGGCGATTGCTCCTGTCGAAGCAATGCCGATCGACCGACTAATTGTGACCGGACATCTTTGCAAGTGGTCTACGTGGTAACACTTAAAACTTTAAGATTTACTATTTCACACCAAATTTTACTATTTACGTATTTCACACTCCATCTCCTTCATTGCTTGTCTGTCATCCATCTATGTACATCTCTTCTCTAGTCGAAGAAGCAGATTGCTCTACAAAATGGTTATTTAAGTAAATGCATGACTCTTGAGATCGAAAATTGATAAGCCCTTTTTTCTTCCTGTTAGCTCTTCTTGAATTGAGAAAATGAGATTCTCTGTTTTTCCACTCTATTTTTTTCTTTGTTTACTGTCCTACTCATTGTTTCGCCAAACTAGTTATTTCCTTCGTCTCATATTCAAAAGCCCTATCAAACTCAGGGATATATTAATTAATAGTTCAAAATAGGGCTTTATGTGAATGTATGATTATGGTAGGGATTTCATCACCTTCCAAATGTGCAATGCTTTAATGGATTGCAAATCTACTTTTATCTCGAAGGGAAGCTTTGTATTCTCAGTCATTCGTTATCTATGAGATTCATGTCGGGAGTTTTGGTGTATACAACCCTCAATGGACATTATTTGAATGATATCAACAGTGATAGAGGATGAGTGCAACTAAAAGATAAATTTAGAAGATTAAATTTAATTATCGAGAATAGATGCCCTTTTTTTTCCTAATTATATACTCACCGTACAGAATAATTTTCAAATATGATATAGTAATATGCATCGTACACTAACCATACAGATAGCCGATAATGAAAGAACACAGCAGCAGCCACACATAAACATGATGCCATCAACCAGCAGTGAGTATGAGGTCATGCCTCCGTTTGATTCCAGAAACTTTCTACAAGTGAATCTAATGGATCCCAGCCATCACTACTCTCTCCAACAGCAGACTGCCCTCCAATTAGGGTATATATAATTATTTTCTTTTTTAGTAAAAGTATGTAAATCAATAAATATGAACATTATGTCATAAAATTTTTCTTTCAATCCTATTTTATTCAGCTAGTTAGTGCCGCTACATTCCTGGATCAGATAAGCGCTGCAGAAAGAGATAAGCAAACCAAATCCGAAGTGAGTTGGAGTGGCAGAAATAGAAATTTATCCACTATAGTTCATGTAACTCTTTGACTTGCAAAGTTAGCTATCTATCGAAACTCTACGCTCTGCTATGTACGATACGGAACTATGCTCTTCTGTGTGCAGATTTAAAACTGCGACGTTGTATTTTAATGAATTAAAGTTTACGTTTTGTCTGTTATTTGTGGTTGGTAATATGTCCTACTTTCTGTTATTATAACAACACTTTTTTTTATATCTTTCGGGTTAAAGGTAGGTAGTGATTCAAGTGTCACGTTTTAAAAAAATACCAAAGAAACTTGTTTATAATTTGAATCTTAAATTGTCTTTCGGAAATAAACGCCTTGAGAGTAAAAGCTGAGAGAAAGAGAGAGAGAGAGTAGAGCAGTTAGAAAGTTCCGGATAGAGAAGTCAGGGAATAGGTTCCATTATTCATGTTATTGCCCCCCAATTTGTAGGTACCCATTTGTACAATTATATAAAGAAGGGAAAGTTATGGAAGCAATTCTTAATTCAATTAATGTGTTTATTTAATACTTGATTTGCATGACACTTTGAATGGACTACGGTGGCTATCAGTTGGTAGACATACTCAAGTTCGATCGACCGTGGCGACCGTTCTCGTGGCGATGGCTCCTTTCGAAGAAAAGTCGGTTGGCCGACTAATTGTCACTGGGCGTCTTTCAAGAATTCTACGTGGTCTGCGACTAGATTCACCGATGTATGTCAGTCGACTTTATCGACTGGTCGGTCCTCGGATGGGTTAATTGATCATGTTCTTTAAGCCTGATGTTTTGTTTGTTCGGACACCATTCTTAACTGTTTGATTGCTTTGAGATTCGTGTTGACAGTTTTGATGCATACAAAAAAAAAATATATTTTATTTTCTCTTGGACATTAATGATGCGGCTTGTAAATATTTTTTATGCGAAAGCGATTTAAAGATACAGATGAGCGACAACATTCAAATTTAGAAATAAAAAGATCTTAACAATTTTAGATTAAATTAACCATGCGGGATAAATTACACGCAAGTCACAAGGAATATATGGGGCATCAAATTAGACAATTGTTTAAGATTGAATACTTTAATTAGGTCTCTAGTACTTTCAGAATTGTCTTAAAGGTCTCTCAATTAATTTTTGATTATAACCTTAGGCCTATAATTTTTAATAAGGAAATCCAACCTATATTAATATTTCCTAACCTTTTATATACGCAAAACAAAAAGGGAGTTGGTAAATAATTTATTATCTATTATAAATATTTCAATTTTTCATGTTATCTTGATAAAGTTTATTAAGTTTGTTTAAGCGCCTTCCACACTAATACATATTTATATACATATGTATATAAGGAATGATCAGATACTATTATACGAGCATCCAACCACCCTTGGCACGGACAACTTGTTATTTATGCATTTAATTGATTTATTTGTGCACATTTATGCTCCAATCCTTCATATCGTTGGATTTCTCTTTCTAAATTCCACCAGTTCGCAAGAAAGACGAATATAAAATTCGCATGCACCAGAATATAATTGCAAGATTTTTAGCCATATTTTGGGTACTTGGATGTTTAATAAGAGCAGCGGTCGTTAGATTCTATGTTCGATTAGATACAATTTCGGTGACCAATCCCCCTTGAAGCTAACGTATTTTTAAAATCGTTGACATTAAAATAAATAAAACTTTATTCATTTCTCTCGCCTGGGAATAAAATGCAAGCTTTCCATCACCACTTCGGTCGAACGCAAAGTGGATCCTTTTCTTTTTAGCCCAAGTTTTACTTAAAATAATGACCATATATGGACTCCTAACGTAGAGCTACGTTCGAATTGGAATATTCGGCTGTGTTAGGAGAATATTCCATCTGAGTTATTTGTAAAAATGATGTGTTATTCAAGTATTATATGATGTTATTCGATTATGTTATAATGTTATTGAAATATTTCATCGCGTTACTTGATTTGAGGTTGAAGTGTTATTTGAATATTCCCCCGCATTACTTGATTTGGGGCTGTGTTATTCCAATAACATAGTAGAAATTAAAATAACACGAATATGCCGAATAACACAACCCCAAATCAAGTAACACAAGAGAATATTTCAGTAACACCGCAAAATAATCGAATAACATCATATAGTATTTTAATAACACATCATTTTTACAAATAACGCAGAT